GCCAACAGATCAAAATAAGGACCAAAACAATCTACGGGTGGTTGTGTACCTACATGCATGTAAGAGTGGCAGGTTAGTTACTGAAGCGACAAAAAAACATAAAAAAAAAAAGAATCCTGATACATGAATTCAGCGTCTCAATGCCATATCGTGAGAAGGTGAAGCGTGATACATCGATTCAGTGCTATATCGTGTCAGCTGTAGAATAATTTTTGCGTGGAATTTAGCAATTGAGCACAATAAAATACTTGACAACCAAAATAATTTGGAATACAAAAATCACTGGTTTGTTACACATACAGCGCAACTTTTCAACCAGTGTTCTATTATCGTTCTCAAACATGTAATTGTATTCCATAGTGTTTTACCAGTATAATGGGTGATTGAAATAGAGAATGTGAGAAATTATCAGTACTTGGAGATGTGAGACAATTGAACTTATGAAGCTACTAATTACATGTAATGTTCACTGTTCTTGTATTCCATTGGATAGTTGCACTGATATATACATATATATTCATATTGTTTTGTATTTTCTCATTCTATTTTATCAATATATTTGTGTGTACGCTTGATGACAACTTGTGAAATCTTGCTGAAACTTTGTAATGTAATAAACCATAGTAATTGCTATCCTGTAAAAAAGAGTGTTTATTTGAATATATAACTGTTTTTAAGAGCTACAAATTCAGATACATGTATCACCACAAGTTTTTCATACCAAAATACAGATTCTCATCAAACTTGCATTATTTATTCATGTAGCTTACAAAATCATGTACAAACTGGTCAGTGTAACTGCATAAGCTTACGCATTTTTTATTTTCACTGGACTTATTTTTTTCATGTAGCTATATAAAGTATGTTAGTAGACTTGCCAAGAAACTGTAATCCAAAGATCTGCAGGTTTATTAACGCTGCTGTAAAGTTCAGATTACAAGCAAATGATACCAAAAAAGAAAATATATATATATATATGTTGGTCCCAAATTGAAGCAGTTAAACTCCATTTGTTTTGTTTTATCGCCATAATATAGAATGATTTGCATGAAATCTTTTCAGCTACTAATGAAATTTCAGTACAATTACAAAGTACAAACATTCATTTTGGTTTTTTAAATAAAACCTTTTTAAATCGTATCGTGAATTCTTATTTGTAAATCATTTAATATTTTTAACAAAATATTACCTCTATATATCGAAAATAGAAAATATTAGACAGACAATTATTGATTATCGAAACTACTTGAAAGGTAAACAACAGATGGAAAATGAATTAAACGAAACCATAGAAATTAAATGGGACAATACAATATGAACATTATGCATACCTCTATTTTTCCTTTCTAGGATTCCTTTCATACATGTACCTTTAGCTATATTTTGTATTTTTGTTTTTTTGTCTTTATGTTTCTTTTTGTTCTACTAAATGGATTATAAAAATATAGTATAACAGGTAGCTTTCAATAATAAATCAATGTTTTGTATGTGTATTGTTTTAAAATTTTACACACTGTGAATGTAATGTGAACTATGTTCTATGTCGTTTTATATAAATAATAAAAAATAAATAACATAGATGTGCACAAAGAGCAGCTATAATCAATTGGTCATTATTGTACTATCAATCAAGACAAATTATATATACCATACTTCTTGAATATCAGTGACATTATTAATGGTTTTTTTTTTGGACAATATCTATTTTTCCATCGCTTAATCCGTGCTAAAATGTACATTTGATTAAAGGAAAAAAAAATATCAATTGTAGATAATCTCCTAGCTTGGATTCAATCAGGGGGGTTGGATGGCCGAATGGTTAGCATGTGCGCGCTGTATCATAAGGCCTGTCATTGAGTCAACTGGCGTGGTTTCGAATCCCCGGTTATACGTGACAAGGAGTAGGGTCGCCTGTCCAACCTCGTGGGTTTTCTCCGGTTTTCTACCACTGCTAAAGACCCCTACGCGCAAGCGAATTATTGAAATAAAATTAAACCATATGTTAATCCCGAAATGACCTAGTTTGTGTCGAGTGGACGTTAAACCCCATTTCTCTCTCTCTCTCTCTCTCTCTCTCTCTCTCTCTGTGGATTCAATCAGAGTAAAAACAGGCCCATCAAACATTTTACCATTGGTACATGAATTGTGTACCATAATGCGTTTCAGCGCCATTTGTAACAAGGAACTCGAAGAACGAGGCTAGACATATTCCACAAGTCATGTCAAACGGTGACCTCATATTCTTATCTGGAGAGCATGCGCAATAAATACTATCGGTGTGTAGACTTGAATAACCAGACGCTACAGATTGTCATTCAATTGAGACTTCTGGCGTATTTCGCCGAACATAACTGGTTTGAAATTAGAGTAAAAACGGAATTAAACAATTGAATGTAAATGAGATTATATACATTTATAATACATTATTATATGCATTGCCACTCATTTGTGTCAATTTCTAGGTCCCACATATTAGCGATTTAGCTCCTTTATGGCTTATGGTCTACAGAGAATGCCAAATGTTGTAAAATCTTCAATTCGTTGTATATATACTATTCAAAAAAAGTAGGGGATATTTGATTTTGGGGGCATAATACTAAAATATGCAAATGACTACGAAAAAAGTCACTATAGAACCTAACAGAAGAAACATTTCCAGTTACATGTGACGCCCAAACGCACCAATAGCTACCGCATGGAATGCAGGTGATGCTTGGGATCATCATGGGGGTCCAACCCAAGATTTGCACGACTCTGACTTTGAATGTTACAGTCATTGTCGCATTGAATTCCGGGGTGGAAACATCAGTTTAATTGTTTTAGTGACCAGAAAACAAATTTTGATATGCGTCGGCTTACCCAAAATGAAAGGTTACGTGCCCTTGGCATGCTACAGATCGGCACAACACAGGCGGTTGTGGCGCGGACGATGAATGTTTCTCAGTCTGTCATAAGCAGGCTATGGTCCAGATACCGTGATACACAATCTGTACAGGACAGACCACGCTCAGGTCGACCAAGGGCGACAACTCAAGCCCAGGATCGATATATCCGTACCTTGGCCTTGAGAAATCGTGTCATCACAGCAAATCAGATCAGCGCTCGTCTTCAAACAGACACTGGTGTGAGAGTGAGTGGCCAGACGATTCGGAATCGACTGCATAGGGGTCACCTTCGCGCCCGACGTCCTCGCGTGATCCCTTGTTTGAGAGATCATCACATTCAGGCAAGACGTCGTTGGTGTAGGGATCGTCAACACTGGGATAATCGACGCTGGAGCAATGTGATGTTTTCAGATGAGTCAAGGTTCACTGTTGATTTTTTGGACAGACGTAGGAGGGTGTGGCGTCGTCGAAACGAGCGCTTCTAAGACGTTAACGTCATCAGACATGATCAATTTGGGGGTGGTTCTGTTATGGTGTGGGGAGGCATCACTGTTGCTGGAAGAACGGCTTTACATGTTGTTGCAGGGCGTGTTACAGGCCAGTACTACCGGGACAACATCTTGGCAGTCCATGTTGTGCCGTTCGCACGACGTCATGGCCGCCGTTTCATCTTCCAGGATGACAACGCAAGATGTCACAGGGCCAGGATCGTTACAGGTTACCTCCAACAACAGAACATCACCACATTACCTTGGCCAGCACTGAGTCCCGACCTCTCCCCCATCGAGCATGTCTGGGACATGCTTGGACAGAGGTTACGTCAACGTCAACAACGTCCTGCCAATGTCCAAGAACTTACTGCTGCGTTGCAACAGGAATGGGACAATCTGGACCAAAATGACCTTAGACGTCTCATTAGGAGTATGCCACGTCGGATCAATGCTTGTTTGGCAAACAGAGGAGGATTTACCCGTTACTGACTTGGTTGTGATGCTGTGGTAACTTTGCTGTTTGACCCCGGGTATCATTTTACCCTTATAATGGTCAGTCTGTGCCTTACTTAGTCTAACGATCATTTGGAATAAATCGATGAATGTGAACTTCATTTCATTTTGTCATTTCTTTCTTCGTCAGTTTCATTAGGTGACTTTAATAACACTTAAAAATCAAATATCCCCTACTTTTTTTGAATAGTATATTTGTAAATACTGAACGGAATTGAACCACGTTTCGACTGATATTTGTTTTAGACTGATATTCCTTTCACAATGTAGCCTGCAAGGGTAAAAAATCTCTCATATGACGAATAGATGGTTCTTGACATGACACTAGTTTGATTTGGTTGACCTTTAACTCAGTATCATCCACAGTCTTTGACATTGCAAACACAATTTATTGGTCAATTTAAATCAACATTGATGTTGTTATCTTATTGTAAAAAGATGGGCTTCTGGTATCCAATATTTAAGACAATGAAAATTTTGATCTTGGCACACTAATTGCGTGTCAGAATGCTTCCAGGCACCATTTGTAATGGAGTAACTGGATGAACCAGGCTAAACATATTCCTCATGGAAGACTACCGGAGTAGACTGGAATAATCAGACGTCAAAGACTGCCATTCAGTTTGCACTCTTTGCATGTTTCGCCGAAGATAACTGATTAGAAATTACAGTAAAAACAGAAACAGTTGAATGTATATCAGTTTTTATACATTCATATTACATTATTGTATGCGTTGCGACCCATTTGTGTCCATTTCTAGGTGCCAAAGAATGGTGATTGAGCTCCTTTAAAATTTGTGGCTTGGACCTGCGCCTAACTTTGTCAGCAATAGATGTAATTGGTTGTCTTATGTGAGTATACAACTACTGCACATAAACTCCAGCGTAGATTGTAGCTATTTCAACTTCGGTTATGATTTGCGTGTCACTTTCGGCATGAATGAAAAAGTACTTGTTTGTTCTCAAAATTACCTAATGGTCTTCACTTTGAATTGGACAAACAACACTATTTTGATACAAATAATTAAAATTCTGTGTGTCAAAATATTGGCACTTTTGTCAAATTTGGCAAAAAGCTTATATCAAAGTTTGAAATTCCATATCGTTGCAGCCATGGTATACAAAAAGATCCAAATGCAAACAGCTTGTGCCGCACGAATTGAATATTGTGCCTGCCCGACCTGACATTTACATTCATGAGGCTTCATACGGTTGGCACAGATCAATATCACAATGGACATAGAGTTTAAACCAATACACCCTCCTACGCCTGCTGGTTGATCAGCGCGCAAAATATCAATAAAGCTTGGCGTGCATTGCAAGAGACGGCTGGGTTACGTAAGTCTACAAGTTTTCGTAATTTTGCAGCAATTTATCAAAATAATTGCTATGTTATCTAAAGTACAACCGAATTGCTCCAAAGTAATTTTTCGATATGAATTGATGAAAGACTCTTTTTTTTATTGACGCTAAAGGGTAATATCGGCAGTCTGTTTTTGTTTTGTTTTTATATCAGATTCATAATTTTTAAATTTACACTTTAGAAAGTCGATCAGTCTTATGGAAGTGAATCAGTGAACCCAAAACATTTTCAATTTTATTTTACAGTCTACAATATTTAACAGTTTTATACACCAATAATTTTTTTATCGGGAAACACTTGGCGCTAGTGTACACCGCGCCAAAATATACAGAGAAACTGTCGCAGATCTTGTCTATTTTGCCGGTATGTTCCCATTCATGTTAATATCAAAACGTAAAACTCATGAAATAACTCGGTTGTTAATCTTTAATTAAATGACCAAAGAGAAAACGTTCAGATGAATGTTATTTCGGATTTAACATTTCATTGGAAAAAAATTAGCGTTTACTTTTTTTTACAGAAACTTTGATTACGTTGAGTAAAGGATATGAAAGCTTGGAGCCGTATATTATGTAGAATTTAGACTGGTATTTTGAGCGTATGAAGGTGTTGTATAGTTTGGGTTTATTACTGTCCTGACCTATAAGTTTATCAGGAGTGGAGTTGTTAACATGTACACACAGTGAGCTACAAGCTAACTAAACACGCCAGTAAGGAAGACTGGGCTATACATGTATGATTGCCTGGTATTAAATTCGTTGGGCCTGAACAACCATAAATAATTGCCATGTGACTGACAAGATTTGTAGACAGGCTAGTTAGATGACCTACTGACCTATATTAGTCACTAGATAAAAGACCACATTGTTGGAGATGGCCTAGAGCATTCATTATTTTTTGCCTTCCACAACCGAAGACCAGAGCCCCGGCACTCACTGAGGTTTTGATTTATAATTTACCCTATGCATGATATGTTAAGGGATTAAATTTTTTATCTCACAATGAACTTAATATCATATCCAGAGCTTGAAGACGGGGGTGTGCTGCGCAGTGCTTTGTAAATTCTTACTTACAAAGTGCATCAGATACACTATATTATCAATAATTTTATTAACGAATCCATATGGTATGAGGACGCTATCTCAGAGATGATGTTAGCGTAAAATAGATATCATTTGGAAATTAAAGAGGTTTGCTTACATGTTCTTTCGCATGATGCTAAAATAATCAAAATTGGTGTTTGATCATTTTCATTCATTTATCCAAAGCCCTGCCATGTCTTCCTCAATATGGTAGGTTATGTGAGAGAGAGAGAAATGGGGTTTAACATCCACTCGACAGAACTAGGTCATTTCGGGACTAACATGTGGTTTTATTTTATTTCAATAATTCGGTTGCGCATAGGGGTCTTTAGCAGTGGGAGGAAACCGGAGGACCCGTAGAAAACCCACGAGGTTGGACAGGCGACCCTACCTCTTGTCACGTACAACCGGGGATTCGAAACCACGCCAGTCGACTCAATGACAGACTTTATGATACAGTGCGCGCACGCTAACCATTCAGCCATCCAACCCCCCGGTAGGTTATGTATATTCACAAATCTGTTAAAGACTCTATAATTTTAGTGTTATATATGTAATCCCTTGCAAACTGCAATGTTGTGAAAGTTGAATCTCAAATAGAAATAGCTATCAAAAAAAAGGGTTCAATTCAGCCCAGTATTTATAAAGATATGACGAGTTGAAAGTTCCATTAATCTATACTGCTCCCAATGTAACAAGACAACTGTTGTCTTTATTTGCAGTGAACTAAATTGATGGGCCTGTTTTGAATCTGACTGAAACCAAGCTGGTACTTTGATTACGTCTATTAATTAAATGTTATATAATCAGTCTGAGTATATATTAGCGTGGATTAGGCCGTGATAAATTTTTAATTTCCTGAAAACTGCAAATCATGAATCATTACTTTATTAATTAAGATATAACTATCTTTTATTTTATGTGTAATTTTCAATAATATATTGTGATTTTGTTTTCTTAATTGATGTTATATTAGCGAGGTTTAAGCAGGGAGCTCCGAAAATGCAAAATGTTATGTTGACAAAACTTCAATCATTTCCTTTTACCATTAGTTTCAAAACGTGCACTATCATTTGAGTCAAGAATGTTTTCATCCCTTGCCTTTTATAGAAAGCAGGGAGCCACGGTGGTTAGGTGGGTCAGGCGCTGGCTCGCTAGCCTGGAAGTCGGGTGTTCGATCCCTGCATTGGCCGAGAAAGTTCATCCCGATTTTCCGACGTGGTTTCCCCTTGTCAGTGATGCCGGACGGAGGGTCTGACAAGGACAGCTGTCTAGTCCTTCGGATGAGACGAAAAACCGAGGTCCCGTGTAAACATTGGAATGCACGTAAAAGATCCCTTGGCAGTTGGAATTCGATATAAGAGTAGGCGATAGTGCCGCTGCCCGGGCAAAATTTCCCTCATAGCACACTGTATGGCGTATGCCCGTCTTCATTAGCCCAGGTTAGGAGCAGAACAGTGGGATGTTAAACCCCATTTCATTTCATTTCATTTCATTGAAGAAAGCAGAGAACTACAGTATTGATATGGCTTCTTCCATTAATTAAGGTACAAGTAGATTGTTCAAACCTTGTGTTAGTGTTCATTTGGTGAATGTCTTGACAGATGAGGATTTACTGCTTTGACTAAGCAGAGATAAGTAATTGGAAACATAATTTAGGAAACAAGAAACTTGGATTCTAATTAAGTGAGGGTGATGATATTTGGTTATACTTTCACTGCATCATTTCGTAGAAACCAAACTTAGCGCTACTAAAATGAAAAAAAGTTTGAGAAAAGACTGTAATATTTGATAGCGATGGATTTTACTGTCAAGATCTGGTTGATATTATTCGGTAAGGTCCATGTACAAGCCAGCCCTATTGTTGATTTCAAGTGGTTGCCAAGGAAAATAATGAAGTGTCTTTTCACAGTAAATGTAGGTCACATCATTAGGAAGACATCATACATAATTGAAAAGCTGCTCATGTGGGGATTGGTGATGTCATATATTATGGAAAGCTCCGACCAAGATTGAATTTCTACTACATGCAGTGTGCAATGTGGGTAATTTTGCCGCACAGTGGCGCTACAGCCTACTCTTATATCAAACTAACAAGGGTTCTTTTACGTGTACACGAACATGTGCAGTTAGAGAAATTTTGACCAGACAGTGGCACTACACCAGTGCTGCACAAGAAATTTCTCTGAGGTTTTCCAGCATCGTTTCCCCCCTTGTCAGTGGTGCCTGGCGAAGACGGTGTCTATTTTTTTTTAGATGGTACAAAAACAAAGGTCCTATGTGCACGTTGGCGTGCATGTAAGAGAACCTTTGACAGTTATAAGATTAGTCAGTAGTGCCGCTGTCCAGGCAAAATTATTACCCTGATAGCACGACCGCCTTCATTAGCTCAAAAGGTGCAGAAAAATGTGACAGTGAACCCCATTTCATTGCCAACGAATCAAAGGCAGATTGGGGTAGAAACAATACACTGTTTACATTACTACTCAAGCATGCCAGTCAAATCTTGACTGTTTGCGGTTTGATCCCGGTGTTGTTCTAGAAGTACATCAGGATTTTCTAGCGTGATTTCGTTCATCTTGCTAGGATGGTGCTGGCAAGAAACAGTGTCTAGTTTGTAGGATGGGTTACGAAAAAACCAATATCCATTGCAGAGCTCATATTTATATGAAATATGTTCATAATTTTTTTTTTCGCCAATTGGATTATTTTATCTGCCAAAAATGTGTTATAAAAAAGACAACATGTAACAATTTTATTTCTCAGGTAGGTCTATTATAAAAACAATTACAGGTATATATACAACAACTTACCAAATCCTTTCTTACATAATGTATTACCCCGGTTTTGAGATGATTTACTAAGATCAGATTTTTATGGGGGTGACTTTAGTCTTTTCGCATACCGTATTGAACAATATATTTTCAGTATTTACTTGTCAAATCTCACCCAAGGATTGCCAGATTTCCTATTTTATTTAAATTTACGCTTTGCAATTACAATATGCCTATTGTTATTTTCAAGTACTGTAACAGTATCAGAATCTAAATCACTGATAGAAATTTCAATTTCATTTGTACAGACTCATTGTTGATTTTAGGGTGGTAATGAAATAAATAGTGGATCATTTCATCATTATTTGACTCGTTCTTACGTTTCAATGGTGATAATAGAATTTGAAATAATAATATCCAATTAGTCATGTTTGTATATTTTACATGCCGTATGAAGCCACAGTAAATAAAATTCAACTAGCAGAATATCTAGTTCTCTTCGAAAAGAATAGATGGCCAATTTTGATTATTCCCTTTGTTATTTTAGACAAAACGAAACATCAAATAATCAATGCTTTGATTACATATGAGTAAAGGACGACTTATCATTGGCAATTATTAATCAACAAATCATTGATCCAAAGCAACTGATTAGTATTACTCACTGACACGATCCAGATTATCAGCAAGTTAATTAATTTATAGTATCCTGCCACGTGATTGTGATGTTTTTTCCGTCACTTATCAAAAACAATCGCAATTACATAAAAACTTTATCGCAAAAATGATCACACAAATCAAATTTTAATCGCCATTTTCATTTATTTATTGCAAATTGCGACTTTGGCAACCGACAGCTTGAGCCCTGATCCATAATTTCCTCCTAGCACACTGCATGGCACGTTTCTGTCTTTGTTTAGGCTGGTTGGTTCAGAAAAGTAGAATGTTAAACCCCATTTCATTTTATTGAAGAAATATGAACATCCCACACCACCAGTCTGTGTATCTGATGTCCGTTTATGTGTAAATCAGTGTTGGGATTTCAAACATTTTTACCGAAAATAAAAGGGCAGGCATAATTTTTATCGTTATTTAAGCAGGCATTTAAAAATCATGTTT